GTTCAGACGTGTGCTCTTCCGATCTCCCCAAAACCCCAAAACCCCATAACCAATAGTTTTATTCATTTTTGTGAGTTTATAAATTAGTAATTTTTGACAATTAAGTATAATAATTCTTTTTTCAACAATGAAAAGGACCAATAAAGCCAACAAAGTAAGGAAATATCATCATCACTCAAATTCAACTCTAGAAAGACAAGCTAAAATTCAAAAACGAAAAGTCCTATGAGGAGGAGGACTATGATGAAGAGGAAGATGGCTCATATGAAGAAGAGAAGGATGATAGGAAATCTAAACTCTAGAAAAGAGGCATGAAGGCTAAAGGTAAGTTTGTGTCGAATTCACGAAATCGAATCACTATGCTCCATTTTTGATGGAATTCATTATTTAATAGAGACAGCCAAGTATTAATTATTTTACGTGTAGGTGATAAAAGAGATAGAAAGAGATAGAGAAAGGGAATCTCAAATTTTCTGGATGATCAGGCCGAAGAGGCTAGTGATGATGTCGATGAGGATGATGATAATGATGAGGAGGGAGAGAGAATTCACAAAAGCATTCACCACGATGCACAATATTATACTGAGAACCAATTGAAATAGAGGACACATGGTCTGGACAGAAACTTCATAGACAGCATGGCTGAAAGATATAGAGATGTGGATGAAGATGACGATGAGATGGACGATGAAATCATGGATGACCAAGAATACGAGGGAAGAGATGGGCTTGAAGACAAATCAAGGTTGCCCTCCGTTGATGACCCAAGACTTTGGCAAGTAAGAGTCAAGAGAGGCTGTGAGAAGCAGGCAACAATGCAACTTATGAATAAAAGTATCACTTATGCTAAATAAGGAAGACATCTCTCCATTCTTTCAGTCACCTGCACTGATAAAGTGGAGGGTTTTATCTACGTTGAAGCTTTCAAAGAGATTCATGTGAGAGAAGCTATCACTGGATTGTCAACAATTTTAGGAGGAAAGTGTCTCTTAGTGACTAAGGAAGAGATGCCAGGAATTTATCTAAATGACAAACCTCAAATCGATATACAGCAATACCAATGGGTTAGAATTAAGCAAGGCCTCTATATGGGTGATCTAGCATTGGTCGAAGTAGTAATGGAAGATAAAGTCTACCTAAGGCTAATTCCAAGAATAGATTTTAGCAAGGATCAAAATAAAAACCGGGACAATGATAAGAAAAAGAACAGATTCTCTAGTTTTAGATTCCCTTAGAGATTGTTCAACAAAAATTTAGTCGATCTTAGATATGTGACTACTGGTATCGAGAAAAAATAGATATTTGAAAACAAAACCTTCGACTCCTACAAGAATCAGCTATTCAGAAATGGCTTCTTAATTAAGGCATTCCCTCTTAAGCAACTGCAGTTAGATAATGTGCGTCCCACTGTTGAGGAGGTTTAAAATTTCGCCAATAATATGACTTAGATTAGAGACGATGACGACAATGAAATAACCGGAGAAGAACTTATTAAAATGACATTTCTGATGAATAATAACTCTGATGTGCAGAAAGGCGATAAGATTAGAGTAATCAAGGGAGATTTGAATGGACTCTACGGGACTGTGGTTACTATAGAGAATGGCGATGTGGTGTTCAAGCCTAGTATGGAGAACTTCGACGACAATTTAAAGCTAAACATCGAGTACGTAGTAAAGTACTTTGAGCCAGGCGACCAAGTTAAAGTGATCGATGGAAAGTTCAAGGGCGAGACGGGCATAGTAGTCTCACTTGATAATAAATTTGCAAACTTAGCTCTGACCTAAAATGGCAGAGAGATTAGGATCTTGGCTAATCACCTAAAGTTGAAGTCAGAGATCGACCAGAGTTTGTTGGCTTGTGGCTATGTAGATAAAAAGAAGACGAATGAGTATTCAGCTAATGACCTCATCATGTATAGCAATAAATATGTCGGAGTAGTCCTCAAAGTAGAAGATGACTATGTGAGAGTAATCAACAACGAAGGAGACCTCCAAAACATCAAGTTATTAGATATCAATAAGAAATTCGACATGGCTAAGAAAGGATCAACTGTTGACTCACATAGAAACACTTTGCACTCAGATGACGTTGTCAAGATCACTTCTGGTCATAATAAAGGCAGGAAAGGTGTCGTCAAATTTATCTATAAAACTACTCTATTCTTATGGGACAAGGAATTCTATCAATCAAATGGTATTTTTGTCGAAAATAGCAGGAATGTGGTTATTCTAGGAGACGAGCACTTAAAGCCTAACCAAGCTGGAGTGGCTGTCAACCGTAGATTCAGAGATCCACTTATTGGCAAAGATGTAGAAATCACCAAGGGTGAGTGGAAAGGCTACAGAGGACGTGTTTGCAGAGCTGACGATAGATAGGCTATTGTTGAACTCAGTTCTAAGTGCAAGCAAATTGCTATTGAGAGAACTCTGGTAGTTGAAATCGAGAGAGGGAACAAAAATAATACTAGAAATGGCATGGATAACAACTACGGTGGTGCTACTGTCTACGAAGGCGGTAAGACACCCATGCAGTACAATACACCTTCATACTATCCACATAGTCCACATTGGGGTGCAGCGAACTAATCGCCAGGCCATGGAACTGATTGTAAGACTTTAAATTCTATTTACTAATATTTATAGATGACTATAACAATCCAGGCACACCATATAGTAGACCTCAAAGTGAACATTATCAGAAGCCTATGACTCCAAGAGGTGGGTATGGAGACCACTGGGTAAAAAATGAATGATGATCGATGCAAACTTTAGAAGAATATTGCAACAGCAAATTATAATAAAGAAAATTTTATTAATTGTTAATCTGTATTAACAAACTCCTTCAATTGTTTCTCTCGGGGTTTTGGGGTTTTGGGGTTTTGGGG